TACGCCGCCGCTCACCCGACAGCCCCAGGCACTTGAGGCGTATGAGGTCTCGGTACGCCTCAAACACCACCTGCTCCTCCAGCTCCACCTCCCGCGCAGACCGCTGGCGGTGGCGCCACACCCTGCGCGCGGGCACGGGGGGGCGGCGGTCGCGGTGGGAGGGGCCGGCAGGGCGTGCGGCGGGCGAGCGCAGAGCTTCGGCGGCGTCGGCGGCGTCGGCGGCGGCGGCTCGGCGAGCCGGGCCGCGGCTCCAGGCCGCCGCCCCTCGTGTGCAGGCCCTCCCCTGCACTGCACTCCCATCAGGTGCAGGCCGCCACCACCTGTCCCTGCACTCCCACAACCACTCCCACCGCCACACCCACCCACCACCACACCCACCCGGGGTCTGGCTCCACGTAGATGTCCAGCAGGGCGCGTGCGTCGTACCGGTCTATGAGCACGTCCGGGTGCGCCCCCCAGGGCACCAGCCCCTCGCTCTGCTGCTGCGCGTAAAACTGGGCGTCGTTGCGCAGCAGGCGCGCGGGGCGGCCGTCCAGGCGCAGCGCGTGCAACGGCGCGTCCGACTGAGCCTCCTCCAGCTCCCGCTTGGCCTCGTTCCGCGCCTTGTTCACCAGGCTGCGCGACTTGATGCCCTTCACCTGCGCCCGCTGCTCGTCTGCGGGGGGAGGCAAGCGGCGGCCAGGCGAGGTGGGCGGGCGGGGTGCAGGCGAGCGGGCGGCCGGGGCACTCCCATCTCCCGTCTCCCTGGCCCCAGCCAGAGCTGCCTCTTGGCTACGATGCCGCAGTCACAGAGGCGCAGACTCACCATAGAACTGGGCCTGCAGAGGGCGGGCGGGCGGGCGAGGGAAGTGGGGGGGTCGGTCAAAGCGGCGGCTGGACGCTCGGGAGCGGCGGCGGCGGCGGCGCGGGAGCGCTGCTTGCAGCACTCAAGCGCAGCGCTCGATGCCAGGCGCCGAGCCCGGGCTGCCCAACTCAGAGGCAGAGGTTCAGAGGGGCCGCAGCTCAGCCTCACCATCGCCCCCTTGAAGCCGGATGCGCTCATCGTCCTCCTTTGATGCTGCTGTAATCAACGCAGTGATAGCCGGTTAACGAGGGCAGGCCAACAGGGGCTGTGCAGTAGGGAAGCACATGCAGCCCTGCACGCTCCCCAGAGACCCCTGTTGATGCACTGTGGCTCAGAGAGAAAGGGAGACGGGCAGAAATGCCACTGCCAGAAGGAACACGATCACTGCCAGGTGGGTGGCCTTGCTCCTGAAGGGGCCTGACTGTGCCTCTGGCCAAAAAGAATGCCTGGCAGCCCCTGCGCATCCTACTCCTACACACCAATTCCTTTCATCATCTCAGCTTGGCTTGCACGCGAGCAGCGGTGCAACTCCCCTCCCACCAAGCTCACTGCACGCCGTGATCGCCTGCCATCCGCCACTGATCACCCCACCAGTGTGCGGCAGTATGCGCTGCACCATCCTGGGGGCAACCCCGCTGCCGTCAGCGGCGGCGGTAGCACCCGTGCTGCCCGCCCGCGCGCTGGGCGCGGCCAGCACGAGCACTAGCTCCCAGCTGGCGCCCGCGCCGCCGCGGCGCCAGGTGGCGACACAATGCCTGGCCGGCGGCCTGCAGCAGCCTGGCGGCAGCGGCAGCTGGCTGAGCAGCGGCAGCAGAAGCGGCGGCGGGTCGCAAGGCCTGCGCCGCCGGCAGCTGGGCGGCAGCAGTCGGCGGCTGCTGACGCAGCAGCCGCCGCCCCCGCGGGCAGCCGACATCGTCGGGGCCCTGGAGGCGGGTGCAGACGACGACGGCGGCAGCCCGGCGCTGTCCCACGCCTCCGCCAGCACCGCCTGGCAGCTGGGCAGCCCGTATGACAAGGAGATATTCCTGCTGGCCATCCCCGCACTGTTCAGGTGGGCAGGTGGTGCAGGGGGGAGCAGCCAAGGGGGTGGTGCTGCGGGGCAAGGGCAGGGGAAGCCGCGGCAGCGCCGCTCCTCGGCCTGCACGCCTGGAATCTGGCGCCTTATGGCCTTGCAGCCCGCCCGACGCTGCCCCTCCACCACCCATGCCCGCTCATGCCCCTTGGACATGCCTTGCAATGCCCGGGGTCCTCCATCTTTCCTCCATCCATCTTTCCTGCCTCCACCCTCCCTCCTTCCTCCTCCCTGCAGCGTGCTGCTCGACCCCATCATGGGCATGGTCTCCACCGCCATTGTGGGCTCCACGCTGGGCACGCAGGCGCTGGCGGCCGTGGGCCTCTGCACCATCGTCTTCAACTTCTCCAAGTGAGGGAGGGGTGGGCCGGGGGGCTGGGGGGCCTGCTGGCTGGGGGGCTGGCCTGCGGGCGGGTGGGTGCGAGGGTGTGCGAGGTGGTGGCGTGGCGCCTGCTGCGCTTGCTAGCCTCTACGGCGCCCGCGTGGCGCTTGCTGGCTCACGTGGAGTCTCCCCAACTGCCTCGCGTCCCGCTGCAGCTTTGTGTTCAACTTCCTGCTCTACACCACCACGCCACGCATCGCCGCCGCCGCGGCACGCAAGGACTCGGACGGCGTGTCGCAGATAATGTCACAGGTACAGTAGAACAGTGGCGGGGGTGCCTGGGGCTGGGGTGAGGCCGTCCTGGCGCTGCTCCCAGCGACAAGCGTTCCCCACGGGCCATCCCCTCTCCTCCTCCTGGTCCCTGGCCCTGCCTCAAGTCCTGCCTCCCCTCCCCCACCCCCCCGCTGCCTGCCCTCCCCCAGGGCCTCTGGATTGCCACCACCTTTGGCCTGTCCATGTCGGTGCTGCTGTGGAACCGCTGCCCCGCCATCTTTGCGGCCATGGGCGCCCAGCCGGAGGTGGTGGGCCCCGCGGTGGCCTACATGCGTGCCCGCTGCATCGCCTCCCCCGCCATCCTCATGTACTATGTGCTGTCGGGAACCTTCCGCGGCTTCAAGGACACCAAGTGCGCGGGGGGGGCGCCCGCGGGGGAGTGCGTGGTGTGTGCCTGGGTTGATGTGGGTGGATGTGGGTGTGTGGGCGTGAGCGAGCGCCCACCCGCGGCTGGCTGTGCCCGTAACCGCGTGCCCGCCCCCTGCCTCCTGCCCCCCTTCCCCCCGCAGGACCCCGCTGGCTGCGGGCATGGTGGGCAACCTGATCCACCTGGGCCTCATCCTGGCCCTGGTGTTTGGGCTGGGGTGGGGCGTGGCGGGCGTGGGCCTGGCCACCTCCCTCTCCCACTGGGTCGCCCTCACCTTCCTCATGGCAAACGTGCTGGGCAGGGGATACGTCAAGTGAGCGCCGCGGCGCAGCCGGGGCGCAGCCCCATGCGCCACGCGTGTGCCAGGCATGCGCGCGATGCTGGAGCAGCCGGGCGGGCTCAGGGTGCTGGGGCGGGGCCTGCTGCTGACGCCGAGCGGCGTGGCGTGGCCTGCCCCGGCGCTTGCGCGCAGGGTGGGGGACCTGCTGCGGCCGCCCTCCTGGGCTGAGGTGGCCCCCATGATGAAGAACGGCATCTTCCTGTCCACCCGCTCCCTGCTGGCCATGGGCATGCTCATGTGGGCCACACGCCTCATCGCTGGCTTCGGGGCCGTGGGCCTGGCGGGTGAGAGTGCACCGGCTCGCACACAGGCTTGGCGGGGGGGCTTGGGGCGCTGGGCGCATGCACTCACCGCCTGCTTCTCAGCGCCAGGGCCCTTGGTGCCTGCAACCATGTCGACCCGCCTCTGCCCCGCCCCGATGCAGCCCACGAGATTCTGCGCCAGATCTGGGTGTTCAGCAACCAGGCCTGTGAGTGTGCAGCTCATCGGCCGCAGGGGTGGTTGGGGATGTGGGGGCTCTTGCATTGCGCGTGCTTGTGTACCATGTCAGGGCAGCAGGACGCCTTGGCTGGGCCAGGCATGCTTCATTCCCCAGCAACGGTCTGAGCACACCAATGTGGTCCCCCCTGGCTGCTGCCTGCAGACACGTCGCTGGACATCGCCACACAGGTGGGCAGGGGGGCAGCTGGGGGTTGGGGGGATGGCAGCGGGATTGCTCGAGTGCCGAACCCGGCAGGAGCGGCACCTGTTGCCCAGGGCCAGGTCCTGCCGCCCCTCCTGGCGCTGACCCCACCCCCCGGCCTTCCCTGCCGCGCCTGCAGAGCCTGGTGGCCTTCCACCTGGGCAAGGGCGACCGCCGCTCCGCCGCCGACGTCTTCCGCCGCACCCTCAGCCTGGCGGTGTTTGCGGGGGTGCTCATCATGGGCGGCCTGCTGGCGGCCCAAACCAGCCTGCCCGGCGTGTTCACGCAGGACGCTGCCGTGGTGCAGCAGGTCAAGCTGGTGAGATTGATGAGGGGCCCGGAGGGGGCTGCGCTGTGTGCGGCAATGTACTTAGCTGGGCTGCTGTGTTGGCGCTGCCTGTGGACCTGCTTGTCCCCAGGCACCGCCTCAGCCCTGCCTTTGCTGCCCTGCCCTGCCCCCCTGCGCCCCCCGCAGGTGCTTCCCCTCATAGCGGTGTTCATGCCGCTGGATGCCGCCGCCTCTGTGATGGACGGCGTGCTGCTGGGCAGCCAGGAGGCGGGGTGGCTGAGCAAGACGATGGCGGTGACGGCCGGCGTGTGCGCCGTGGGCCTGCTGGCCAGCCAGCGCCTGGCCTGGCCGCTCACCACCATCTGGTTCGTCATCAAGTTCCTCGCAGTGGGCAGGCTCATCGGTGCGCGCTCCTGGCTGGCCTGTGCCGTGCACCAGCCCTCGCTGCTTGGCCAGCGTTGCGTTTCCCTGGTGGTTGCACGTCCTGGCCCAGCCTGGCCTGTCCACCAGAAAGAAGCTCACCCTGCCCTGCCTGCCGGCCTCCTGGTGCAGGCAATGCCTGGCGGCTGTGGTCCCGGAGCGGCCCACTGGCGGGGGAGCTGCGCAAGGCTGCGGCATGACGGGTCGCGCTCTACTGGCCACCGTCCACCGTGTGTGTAGCCGTCTAGTTGCCACCACACGGGCACCCCGACGCTTCCGTCTGGATTCGTTTCTGAATAAACATGTCGGCAATCAGATGTGCCATGCGTTGTACCACTGTTCAATGCTCTTTTTCTGAATCTCCTTTTGCGCTGTGGTTGAGCGCCTGCTGGCCGAGGTCGGTTGGTGCTGCCACTGCCTTCCCTGTCGCTGGTTAACTCCGCCCTGTTGTTTCTTGCAACAAGTTTCTGGCCAGCATGCCAGGCCTGCGTATTTGCTGGACCTTACTGTGGTGTGGTCGAATCGGATGAGCGGCATGTGCAGGATGGGGGGGTGGTAGGAAAGGGAGGGCTGCCCCCCTTCCCCCATTGATGCTCTGATCACTGCTGCGACCAGCGACATGCAAGACAGCTGGCGAAACGCTTCGCCCCGCAGCGCCATTCCTGCCTTCCTCCATGGCCCTGCATTGCCATGCGGTGGCCCCGATCAAGTTCCCCCGTTCTTCCAATTGACGCGGAGCGCATGCCTAGACATCGTGCACGTGCGCAGCCCTTCACCTCGCACACACAGGTGAGACGCGGTGGCCACTGCCGCTGGCTGCAGGCAGGGCCAGTGACTAGCTCGGTAGTCGTGTCGCGGCATGTTGAGAGACGTGAACGCCCGCCCTGGTCGCCGCAGGTCCTCGAGAACCCAGCAGCCGCTGACGAGCCGCAGCCTCCTAGAAAGGCGCCTGTAGCAGCCTCTGTCGAGCCTCCAAAGGCCCCACAGCCCCAACAAACCGCCCTCGCCGCCGCTGCTTGGCAGGTGAGCGCGTGGGTGGCTGCCAGCGGACTCCGCCTGCTCGCTCTCCCCTGCTCCTGCTGGCCACCCGCAGGCAGGGCTGGCTGTCGCGATCACCTCTCATGGTGCCCGGCGCCCCGCTGATCACCCCGCCCCGCAGGCCGTGCTGTTTCGCGGCAACAAGCCAGTAGGCAAGCTTGTGACACCCACGGTCGAGTGGCAGCCCTTGGAAGCCTCCCCCGCTGGGCAGGAGGAGGTGGAGAGGGAGCAGGCGGCTGTGGGACGCATAGCGCTGCACTTTGCCTCCATCGTGCCCGCCGCCGGAGACGCGAGTGGGGACGACGCCAGCAGCGGCCGTGGCCGCAGCTCTAGCGAGCCGCAGCCCTTGTGCCTGCCCGTGGACGACGACTTCGCGCAGCACTCGTACCGGGTGCAGGTGATTGCCAGGCAGGGCGGCGCCAACTTTGCGGTGCTGCACGCCTTCCGGGCAGAGGGGCGCGAGCTGACTGCTGCGCTCAGCGTGCAGCAGCAGTGGCAGGAGTACCAGCAGCGTCATCAGGCGGCCCGTGCCTCGGCTGGGCAGCCCACGAGCACCACCAACTTTGCTCATAGCAGCACCCTCGCTGTGCGGAGTGGTGGGTGCCACCGCTGGCTGACCTGCACACATTCGGCGGTTGTTGAAGCTCTTGGCAGTGCAGCTGCGCTGCCTGGGCTGCGGAGGCCTTCCTCAGGGGTCGCTGCGCTGCTTGCCAACCTGACAATGCTGTCATGGGCTCGCATCCGTGCGCCATGCGCTGCTTGTGTTGCAGGTGACGGTTTGGAGCGGCTGCAAGCCATCTTTGACGTCGCCGCGCGGCCGGCGTGGCTCAAGGTGCGTGCCTCAGCCTTGCCCTCCCTCTGGCTGCTGCGCCTGCCTGCACATATGCCGTTGCTGTTGCCGGTGTATGCATGTGTGGAGCTTGTGGGCAGGCACAGGCACCCCCCGTGTATGCCATGCTCATGGCCACCCTGGCCCGCGCTGCCGGCCTGCAGGGATTAGTGTTCCGGTTCCTTGTGACCGAGACTGAGCAGCCCGAGACGAGGGCACCTGTGGATGGCAGCAGTGGCAGCACTGCCACTGGAGCAAAGGGGGGACCAGCTGCGGTCACGATAGCAGGAGACGACATGGCAGCGCCCGAGCGCAGAGCCAGGCAGGAGGCTGGCACCTTGGCTGCACCAAAGCAGCACCACCTGCAGGAGCAGCAGCGCCAGCAGCAGCAGCCTGAGGCTGCAGTGGCGCCTGCAGCAGCGCAGCCAGCCGACGCCGGCTCGCCAGCTGCGCCGCCAGCTGGCAGGGCAGCCACAAGTGTGCAACCAGCTGCCGCAGCCCCTGCTGCACCAGCGGGCAAGGGTGGCAAGAGCAAGGGGCGGAAAAAGGCGCCGCAGCGGGCGCAGGATGCGGCAGCCGCAGCCACAGCAGCAGATGCACCATCGTCGCGGGCTGCAAGCCGGGCCAGCAGCAGCAGCAGCAGCGCGCCGTCGGCTGCAGGCTCGTCAGCACCCAGCACTGCCGCAAGCCGCGGCAAGCCAGCAGCAGCAATGGTGCCACAGGCTTCGCAGGGAGCGGCATTAGTGGAGGCCGCTGATGCTGGTGTGGGGGCAGCCCGCAAGGAGCAGCGATCAGCTAGGCCTGGACGGAGCAGGAGCAGCAGCCGGGACCGGCACTCGCGCGCAGGGCAGGAGGCGGCGGCAGCGCGGCGGCTGGCCAAGCAGTCGCCCACGCCCACTGCGCAGCAGGAGGTGCCAGCTGCTGCTAGCATGCTGGCATCTGTGCCTGAGCGTTGTGAACCCTCCTCCAAGGCTGATGCAGCTGGCAGCATCACGCCCAGTGGCACGCCACGCGGCGCGCAGCGCAGCAGCAAGGCGGAGCAGTGTCAGCAGCCGGCCGCCGCCCCAAGCAGCAGCAGCAAGGTGGCAAAGGCAGCAACACCGGTAGTCGGCGGCGCCAAGGCGGCAGCTGCTGCCTCCACTCCAGAGGTGGCGGCAGCTGCTGGCGGCGCGCACAGCAGTTCACAAGCAGCCAAGGCAGCAGCAGCAGCTGCGGCGCCACCCAGCCAGTGCCCCACCGAAACTGACGCCAGGCAGCCTCCCGCGGCAGAGCATGGCAGCTCCAGCAAGTGGCTGCCGCTGGGCGAGGAGACGTCGCTGTCTGTGGCAGCAGGGCACGCAACAGCCGTGTGGCACGGCGCCGCCGACAGCGCGGAGTGCGCCGCGGCGCTGTGCACGCCGCGGCCCGGCCAGCCCGGCAGCCGGCCGCAGTCGCCGGGGGACTGCAGCGTGTGCAGCGACGGCAGCACGCTGAGCTCGCAGGACAGCTGGCGCAGCGGGGTGCCGGAGAACCCGTCCGAGTACGGCCTGCCCTACAACTTTGGCCACCACCCCCTCATGCTCTTCCACTGGCAGGACCACGCAGGTGGGCGGGGCGCGGCACAGCAGCCAAGGCGCGGTGGCATGCTGGGACTGCTGGGCAGCCCGCGTCTTGTGTCCCAGCGCCGTTTGGCAGCCAGCCATCGCCGACTCGTTCCCACCCATGCTTGCGCCTCGCCCCGCTGTTCCGCAGCCCTGCCCCTGGCCGCGCCGCACTCGGTGCCAGCCTCCCCTCACAGGGCGGCGGCGGAGGGACCGGCACGTTGTGCGCGCCGCGGCGGCGCCACCGGCCTGGCCCTGGGGCCCAGCAGGAACCTGCCGCCCATGGCGGGCGCCGTCAGCGGCTTCTACCCGCCTCCCCCGCAGCCGCAGCCGCCGCGCGCGGCGCCGGCCTACGGCCACCACCGCACCGGCAGCACCAGCAGCAGCGGCAGCGATGGCGCGGGGCCGGCGCCAGCCTTCCACCCCGCCGTGCAGCAGCAGTGGCAGGGCAGCCACCTGAGCGGGTGGGCGGAGCCGTTTGTCCCAGGCCAGCCCTTTGTGCTGCCTCACGGCCACCCGCCGCCACACCCGCCGCAGTTTGTGCCTCGCTCCCAGCCTGGGGCCAGGGCGCAGTGGGGGCGGCAGCGGCAGGCCGCAGACGGCGACCCGTGCTGGCGGCCCCACCGCCGCTCCAGCAGCGGCTGGCTGGAGGGTGGGCCGCAGCGGCAGCAGGCATTCGACGGCGCGCCGCCGCCGCCGCCGCCCTCTGGCCCGCCGCCAGCGCAGTGCTTCCCCTCGCCGCCCTGCGTGGCCTGCGGGGTCGGCCCCGCAGCAGGCTGCAGCGTCAGCGCGCCCGCCAGCAGCGTCAGCAGCCCCGTGGTGGCGGGCAGGGGGCGGCTGGCGGGTGTGGCGCCGACCAGCGTGCCGCCGCCGCCGCCCCTGCCGCTGCCAGCCCTGGAGCTACTGGTGGGTGGGCTGCGGTGGCTGTGGCGGTGCTTGCACCGGCCGGCCCGGTGCCTTGCACCTCGCACGCAACCGCTGACACAGGGCCCCTGCGTGCCAGGCCTCTGCATGCACCGCGCGGCAGCGGCCTCGCCCTGCCGTGCATGCAGCCCACCTCCCCCTGCCTCCCTGCCTGCCTGCCTGCCTGCCGCAGGCCCCAGAGTGCTGCGACGACTCCCCCGATCTGGAGCGGCTCCTGCAGGCAGCCACGCCGCAGGTGGCGCCGCCCAGCAGCGGCGCGCAGGACCTGCGCCTGGTGAGCGCGGCGCCTGCTGGCGGCTGTCTGTGCCTGCAGCACCCCTGGCTTCCGCCCGCCGCTCGCTCATGAATGCCTGTCGCCCCGTTGTCCCGACTGACCCTCTGCCCTGATTCTGACGTCCGCCCGCCCCACCCTCCCTTCCCCTGCCCCGCAGGCCGATCTGTGGCGGTGGTACGAGGTGCCCAGCACCGTTGGCTGCGAGGTGGCCACCTGCGGCGGCCCGCGCGGCCCGTCCACCGCACACTACCTCCCCTACCTCTCCTCGGTACAGCTGTTTGCGGCCGCCAGCGACGGCGACGCGGCGCAGGTGGCGGCCGCCGCCGCGCGGGCCGCCGGCGACGCGGCGTCGGGCCGCGCCGCCGCCCCCGCCCCGCCCCCGCAGCTGCTCAGCTACCCCGACGGCCTGGACGGCTGGCCGCAGCGCATGCGGGCGCTGGTGCAGTGGGGGGAGTGCGCCAACATGCGGGACCGCGTGCCGCTGCACTGCCGCCTGGCGGAACTGTGTGGCGGCCAGGGGGAGGCGCACCCGCTCATGGCCACACGCGTGGCAGACCTGCACCCGCTCTCCTGGTGAGCCCCCGCCCGCTTGCTGCCACACCCT